GGAGTTACACTGGTCGTGTATCCATATATGAACATAGGAAAGTTATGTCGGATTCATTCTACTGTCTTCCCCTTTCTCATTCCCCTCCCTTTGTCTAATCCAAAGTACTTCTATTCTTCCCTCCCCCCAACTTATTGTGAGTCAGCACCCATGTACAGAGAGAACGTTTGGCCTTTGGTTTTTCTTGGGATTGGTTTATTTCACTTAGCATGATAGTCTCCAGTTCCATCCATTACCAGCAAATGCCATAATTAAATGCATTTTCAACTTACAATAGGTTTACTGGGATACAATACCACAGTGAGGAGCCTCTGTATATGCACACCCATGTGCATATCTATCTGTCTACCTCGTCTACTCCAGTACCTACAATGGCAACACAACTCTGTACGATTTAGCCTATTTCCCCCCTTTTCATATTTGACTGAAAAATTTGGCTGTAATTATCCATTTCCTAATTTGTTCCATCCTAGAATGTACAGAAAGCATTTTCAGAATTGCTATCCCATGTATCTGTGAAACAGAAATCTACTCGATATTTATTTATAGTTCTTTTTCACTTTAGCCTGAGGGCCTCTAGTCTAAATATAATACAAAAAAGTTACTTGGATTAATTCCTTTTTTGTCCCTGCTGTCCATAAACTTTTAACTGTCCCTTCTCTGTGTCACACCTGTTTTTTCAAGTCTGGAGCTTATTGGGGTCTCTGGGCTGGTGAGTTCCCCTCTCAGCTCACCCTTTCTGTGCCTAGGCAAGTCTGCCTCCTCCCTGCTCATTTGCTCACTAGGCACCACCCTCCATTCTCTACCAGTTTCCAGAGATGCTCACTCATTCCCCTGCCTCCCATTCTCTTTGTGGCTAAAGATTTCTTTCTTTTTTTAAGGCGTCCTTGGCTCTCATTTTAATGGGATCACAAGAGGGAGAGGGAGATGCCTTCCTTGTAGGAGGGAAAAAGAGACTGAGAACCTAGGTTCCCAGTCTGCTGCCTCAAACTTGACCCCTGGGGCCTCAGGAGACAGAAAGATCTGGTTTATAAAGTGTGGGGTATTGGCAAGCTCCTTGACCTGTCCAAATCCCGGTTTCCTCATCTAGGATGTGGAGGTGCGGAGCCCCACATCATGTGGTCCTGACAAGGACAATGTCAGATGAAGGGTGTGAAGTGGTGGGCACGATGCCTGTCACCGCATTCAGTGCCTGTCATTGTTGCCTGCATGCCACTCTTGCTGATCGGCCTCTCATGTGTCCACGTCCTCGCTCAGGCTCACCAAGACTTGAGCACGTCACAGAGTCCCTACTTATAAAGGGACAGGAAATTCAGAGCTCCCAGAGAGGCCATCCCAGCAGCCAGAGCTGGCAGTACTCTGCTGTGTCCCCTCTCCAGCCTCCCTCAGTCCCAGGATGTGCTTTTTGCCTGGAACTTTAAAACTTCTTGCCTGGCCCTGGTTCAGGGGCCTCTCTGAGAGCGTCCCCTAGCTGTGTGCCAGCGGGTCTCTGCTAGCCGGTGGCTTTTAAGTCCAGGACACATGATTGTTCCTGATGAGATGAGTGATGAGCTGAAAATTTTGGTAGAGAGAGGCCAAATCCCTGTGTGGCTCCAGGAACAAGGATAAATATAGCAGAATAATTGCTCATGCTCTTTTAAGGATTAAAAGTCAGCTTTCGGGCAGGCTGTGAAGCTCCGTGACCAGGACAGCAAGGGACACAGTTCCTTTTTTAGAGCCATGGTCAACACTCCCTGTGTATTCCTGGATCCCAGGCCTCTGTGCTGCTACTCTCACTTGACTAATGGGGTCGCACTCCCTGGTCCACACATCATGGGGGCTGGCAGGGGTCGAGGTGTTCCTACTGCACCCCATTAGCCAGCACTACGCCCGGCTCATCCAGGTGCTCAGCGAACACTCCACATGAATGACTGAGAGCTGCGAGAAGCCTATGTTTTAAAAATAACCTTTAGAATGAGATTTATAGTCTCGTTGACAGTAATGTCCCAATGCCAATTTCCTGGTTTTGAAATATATCGTATAATAGCAATATAAGATGTCATCAGTGAGGGAAGCCGGGTGAAGGGTACATGGGACTATGTACTATTTTTGTAACTTCCTGTGTGCCTGTAATTATTCCAAAATAAAAGGTTTTAAAAAACCCACCAGGAACCTTTAGTTAGAATCATCCAACACTCTTGACACTTGGAGGAGGCAAGTGCCAGAGATGGATTGATTAAATTCCTACATCCCTGCTTACAGCAATGCTTTTGTTTTATTTTTTAATTTTAATTTATTTTTATTTTTGGGTGCTGGGGATTGAACTCAGGGGCACTCAATCACTGAGTCGCATGCCAAGCCCTATTTTGTATTTTATTAGAGACAGGTCTCACTGAATTGCTTAGTGCCTTGATAAATTGCTGAGGCTGGATTTGAACCCGTGATTCTTCTGCCTTTCACCTCCGGAACCTCTGGGATTAACAGGTTTGTGCCACCGCACCTGCACCTGGCTTTTTGTTTTATTTTTACTGTTATTATTGAATGTAAACACGTGATTTATTCATATGGTCCAAGAGGTTAAATGACAAATAACAGTGTATTCAGTGGAGAGTCTACCTCAGCCCCTTAGTTCCTCTCCCCATGAGCAACCATTGTTAATGTGATTCATTTTTGCACTAATTTTAATGATATTCTATGCACACAAATTATTTATTTGTGTGCACACATATATATAAATATGAACCCTCTCACTTTTTTTTTACTTAAATGGTAGCATTAGATAAACCTCATTCTTCAATTTTTCCCATGTAGCAATATATCTCAATGGCTTGTCATATCAATATACCAAGAGCTTCCTTGTCCTTTGTTGTGGCTACACCCCCATATTCTTTTATGACCCCCAATTAGTGAACATTTATGTCATTTCTAAGCCTCTGGCTTTTATAAACAATGCTGCAATGAATAATCATGTTCATCTGTCATTTTCCAAGTATGGGAGTGTGTTTGTAGAATAAATTCCTAGAAGTAGAATTGGGTCAAAGGGTATATAAGCTTTACAATCTTGATAGTGCTAAATTGTCCTCTATAGAGTTCATTCCATTTTATACACCCACGAGTCATGTGTTTTATAAAATGTGTGTTTAATGCAGTAATTTTTTTAAAAAATTACTTGGTGACCTCTTTGTGAGTCTGATAAAAGTTATTGGCCTCTACTCAAGAAAAACACAATCATGTAATGTTTTGCATACAATTTCAGTTGGCTCAGAGACCCATGAAGGCCATTGATGGACCTCAGGTTTAAAAAATGTGACAGAAGGGGCAGCAGTATGATAAAGAGGAAAGAGTTTTAGGACTAAACCATCTAAATTCACATATTTGTCCTAATACTCAAGGCTGCAGAAAATTAGCCAAGTCATTCTACTTTGACCTTTGGCTTCTTTTGGAAGGAAAGATATAGTAATTCTATTTCTTAAGACACCTATGAGAGATATGCATACTTTCATGATGCTAAGAGTTTAATATGTGTGGACACTCACATGCACACAAAGTCTTAAGTTCCATTTCAACCTCTGGTAGCAATTGCAGCTGGATTCACAAGATCAACCTCTGCAGCAACATTTCCCAAAGTAGGGTTCTTAGACCAACTACATGAGAATTGCTCCAGGGATATAATTCAAAGGCAGATTCCAGGCTCCTGCTTTAGATCCATGGAATCAGAATTTTTGGAAGAGAAGTCTAAGGACCTTAACACTGGGGATTCTAATGCACACTGAGGTTGGTAAAGCATGCTAAAAAGTTTGGCAAGTCCTTTATAGTCCGTATGCTTGCAGTTCCAGTAGTTCCCATCATGTGACTGTGCCAACAGGAACCTGTACCAGCAGATGGACAGGTGTGGACACCAAGAGAAAGCTTGGTTAGTACCCAAGGCAGCCATCCCTGACCCCAGTTTCAAAAATAAAAAATACAATTACTCATGAGGGTAACAGGCAGAATGACTGCACCCCTACCAGGATATCTTTCATAACACCCAGGAAGGGAGACAATCCAAGGCTACACATTGAAGAAAGCCTGGGATGGAGGCCAGGTGGGCCAGCCTCAGGGGATAATGCCTGCTGTCACTGGGGTGACTGGCCTGTGGCCAAGAGCTGGGAATGGGGACTGTGCAGGTCCTGGCAGACTTCACCAGGAGGGCTTGAAGCTATGGGCCTCAGAGCTCCCATCACTAATTCTCTTGTCCATGACTGGTGAATGTTTTCTGGGGTGGCCAGTGATGGCCCAGGGATAGGATTTCCAGATTTAGCAAATAAAATTACAGGATGCCCTATTAAATTTGAACTTCAGATAAATAGCACACAGTCTTAATACAAGCATATCTTATACAATATTGGGACGTACTTCTACTGAAATAATTATGTGTTGTTGCTGTGAGATTCAAATTTAAGCGGTTGCCAGTCTTGCAACATGACCCAAGGCTTCTTGGTGTTTCTTTTAATCGCAGGAGGGAGTCCCCTTGGGGTCGTTCTAAACTTAGTGCTCCCTGATCTTGACCTTGAATGGGAAATGCACCTGAGGAGGGAGAAGAGTGAGTGTGGAAGGCTGTGGGACTTCCCGCAGAGATGCAGCTCCTCCTCACCTGTGCTTGGGTAGGTGCAGCCCATTCATGCTGATGTAGCTCTTGAACGCATCTCATTGCATGCCCCCAGGGAGCCATGAGTTAGGCATTTTCACTATTACTCCCACTTTAGAGATGAGGAGACTGAGGATCCACGATGTTAAGATCACAGGGCTGTTAAATGGAGGAGCAGGGACTGGCCCTTGGGGCCAATGCCAGGTCTGAATTTAGCAGAATCTCCTAGTCCCTTGGCTCTGGTAATCCCAAGGGTTTAAGGTAGGAGCAACTCCCGCTCCCAAATTCCTGGGACAGGAAACATTCTCAGTCTCTCCTGGCGCTGGGCCAGGGTCTTATCCCAGCTCACATGCTTGCCAGAGAATCCAGGCTGGGAGGCGGGTCTGCAGAGTCCCCTTAGTCCCTATCTGACCAGGACAGTGTCCAGCAGCATGAGCTACCCATGGGCATTTGCCATCTGCTGTGTGGGTGCCATGGGAGGGGCCTGGGGTTAGTGGCTACCTCACAGGCCCTGCCTGCCCAGAGCCCTGAGCGGAAGGGTGGGCATCCTCTGCCTTTAGACCCCAAGAGCCAGGCTGCAGAGGAGCTCTGGCTCCAAGTCCCAGCCCCTCTCAGAGGAGGCGGGCGGCCCTCTGCAGCCAGCGGCTTCTCAGCTCGGAGCTCCAGAGCCAGATGTAACATTGACCTTAAATGGTAAAAGCTCCCCAGAGTGAAGAGAGGCTGGCCAGAGGAGGAAAGGGGAATAACTCAGTTTTAGGTAAGTCACTGCTATATCCTAGAATAACCTGCCTCTTCAGCTGAGAGGGAAGCAGAGGGAAACTTCTCCTCCTTAAAGGTACAGGGTGCTGGGAGGGGGCGCTGAACTTGGACTTTCCAGGGGAGCTGGCTTTGTTGGGTGGTCTTTCAGCTGAGCGTTTTTATTGTTGCTGTCTTAAGCCTTAAATAAGAAGTGAACCTTGCTGGTACTAACTTAGCTAAATTATGCCCCTTTTGTTGGCTGTTGGAAAATATGCACATGTTGGGGTGAGGATGTGACTTCTTACTAGAGATTCCCATTCCAAGCTTTCGTGTGGGCCCCTTTGTGGAAATAGAGGGGGGTTTTGAGGTTATGCAAGACTGCCAGGCAGGGTTTTCTCTCCTCTGTGTTTCCTGTGTCTCTCCTCTGTCCTCCTGTGCCTCTGTGTATGTGAATTCTGTACTGGCCCATTTTACCTCCATCCTTGGCCCTGTGGCATTTCTGTCCCCGACCCTCCTGTCCTTTGTTCTGGTCACTACCTCTGCTTTTATCTCTGCCCCATCTCTCCTTTTGTCTCCAACTCTCCCCGCCTCCCATGCCCTTTCCATGTTCCTTAGAGAGGTACATGTGTCTGGGCCTGTGCCCTGGCCCTGCTCCCTTCCAGGGGCCCGTGTTGAAGCTATTCCTAGAGTGAACTGCACTCAGACTGGCTTTCTGCAAAGGGAAAGCCTGGGGAAGCCAGAGGCCAGAGAGAGGCCCAGCTGCCCCATCCCTCCTGCGCATTAAACAGTTGTAAAAGCTGGAGAGGCTCTGCAGTTTGCATAAACAGCAGCGCAGGTCCTGGACCCCTGGCTGGCGCTCCCAACTGCCAGAGCTCCAGCTGCTGTTCGCTTACACTTTTCAGGCAGCTCTCTGGAGTGGCAGGGGAAGTGAAGCAGCCCCAGGGCTTGTCTGAGCTGGGTGTTCTGCAGGGAAAAGGAGGAAGCTGCCCAGATCTGCCAAGCTGGGGGCGCCAGGGAGGCAGAACCTGCCAAGGACAGTGTTGCCCCTGTCAGGGGGTGCTGACGGGCCTGTGTGGCAGGTGGAGCTACCTACCCCTCACCCCAACTTTTTGATAGAGGAGGAAACTCAGGTTAAGTGATTTGACCAAGGTGATACTACCAAGAAAGAGCAGTTAGGATTTGAACCCTGGCCTATGTGATTCCCATCCCAGTGCTCCTGCTCCTCAGCACAACTGAGTGTCCCCAATGGTGTATTGTAATTTTTTACCTAATAGACAAAACAGTTGTCATGGTCATGTTTGTTTGGTCCACGAGTCAGTGGTGTGTGTGTGTGTGTGTGTGTGTGTGTGTGTGTGTGCGCATTGGAGGTGGCTGTTTGTATTCACAGCTGAGGTCCCTTCCTCCAAGGTTGGTGGTAAGTGAGGTGTTTCCATGTACTCTCTAAGATCCTCTGGGAAGGACAACTCCATTCTAATTATTACAACATGATCAATTATCCTCATAAGCATATTTTTTTTGTGGGGAGAGGAAGGAAACGTGTATGTAATGAACACTGCTCTGAGTCCTTCCCATATACCATCCCCACAACCCTACAAGGCAGGGATTATTATCACTATCCTCATAACTCAGAGAGGTCACACAGTAGGCATGTGACCTCAGGCAGCCCATCTCTGGAGGCTCTGGTCTCGACCACCTCAGCCCTGTTCACCTCTGCTTGGCTCCATTTCTGAGAGGACAGCGGGAGAAGCACAGATGCTCTTCCAACATACTGCATGTGAGGCTGTCACAGGTGGGGCCATGTGGCCCTTACAGCAATGCTAGCAGAGATGGATCTTTACTTCAGTTTTGCAGGTGAGGACACTGGGGCTGGAGGGGGTTAAGTGACTTTTCCAAGCTCACCCAGGCACCAAGCAGCAGAACAGATCTAAATAGTATCTTGGGTAAGTTTATTTAGGGCTGCATGACACTTTCTACTTGAAACTGAATTCCAAAGGGGTCCCAGGGCTGGTTCTGGGATGAGGGTTTCTGTAAGCATGAAACGCCTTACCTGAGCTGCCCGGATGGTTCTCTGGTTTCCAAACAGAGTGCATGTCTTTCCTCTTCACCTTCGTAATGAAGATGGATCACACACACCAGCAGGAGCATATGATAAGTGCTTGAGATCAATTATTTTTGGTTGAATAAATAGACAAAAATGATAATGAAATGACCTTCCTGGTTAATGAAGGTCCTGGGTTTATTAAGCACATGTTCCTGATGATCAGATTCTTGTAGTCTGGTTTGAAGGGATGCAAGGTAGGGTCTCTAATTATCCACCCCATCCTGCCACCTCTCCTGCATGGCCCCACAGAGACACTGGGCTGCACCTCACCCATCCTCACTGTGGCTTCACGGTCAGCAAGATTCTGTTTGATGCCCAAGAAGGAACAGAGGCCCATGTGGATGGAGGAGAGAGAGCTTTGAGCTGCAAGACTCTGCCCCTGCACCTTCAGGAGCTATTTGAGTGAGAAGAAGGAGATGGAGAACTGAGTTCTGGTGTAGTGAATGCAAAAGGAAAGAGGGGAGAAAACTGATATTAATTGAGCTTCTACTTTGTGGCAAGATCTTTTATTCAATTCTCTGGTTAGAGTTAAGGATGCCATGGTTCAAGGAGAGGCACACAGCTGCTGGTGGTGAGCAGGGATTCCAGCTCAGGCTGCCTTGGTTGGCACTTTCTGTGTTAGATGTCACACTATAATTAGGGAATCGGGTCTCAGAGGCAATTATTGAGTGTCACAGACCAGATCATGGGAGAAGCAAGAATAGAAGGAAAGGGAATATCAAGCTTACCTTTAGAACCTTGAGTTCAGATGACAGCTCAGGGCAACCTCCTCATCTGATGAACCTTCAGACCCAGACTTAGCAGAGGTGACACCTGTTGTAACCTTGAAAGCCCCCACCTTTTCCTTCTCTGAGGGAGATAGAAATCAGGTGACAGTAAATTAGACAGACAGAAAGCCTTTTCCAGCCAGCAACAGATGTCAAAATGTTTATTAAAGCAAGGCTTAGTCAGTGCTCCTATGCTGTTACATTTTTCCTAGTACTGTTTTTTAAATTCTAATTTTTATTAATTTTTTTTTCTGGTACCAAGGATTGAACCTAGGAGTGCTTACCCTCAGAACCACATTTCCAGCCCTTTTTTAATATTTTGCTTACAGACAGGGTCTCATGAAGTTGCTGAGACTGGCTTGGAGCTCACTATCCTCTTGCCTCAGCCTCCAGAGCAAGTAGGATTATAGGTGTGTATCACCACGTCCAGCTCACAATTTTTTTGGTCATAAAGTAACATATATTCCTTGCTAAACATTCTTGGAAAATGCAGAAATGATATAAATAATAAACTCAAAATAAATATAAAGGGTTTAAAAACTTTCCAGAAAAATCTCATCACTCAGGAAAATATTATTATTATTATTATTATTATTATTATTATTATGGTATGTTTCTTTCTTTAAATTTCTCTATACTTTACAAAACTCAGGTCTTATTGGCAACTTGATTTTGAAGTCTGCCTTTTAAAAACTGAACATCTAATCATAATCATTTTTCCACATCATTAAAGATTCTTCCAAGCATGAGTTTGCAATAGTTGTATAACATAGAGTAATTTTAGTTGTGTAACAGTTTGACCATTCTTCCTGTGGTTGGCATTTACAAATATGGGTTTCCTTTGAGGACTATCTCACTGACACACGCAATGTGACAGCTTCCCAATATTTGCAGCATTGGGGGACTCTGCTCTCAGAGGCAGGCTTGGGCCGCATGGCCATGATGTGGGCTTGTTCTGCAAGATGATTATAAGATTCTGGCCCAGCCTCAAACACCCAAAATTACATGGTAAGACAGTATTTTGTTTGAGTTTTCAGTCCTTCCTGTCAAGGACGAATTTTCTATTGGAGTTTTCTATTGGAGATCCAGTTCAGGTTTTTTTTGGGGAATGAGAGTTACCCCAGACTTTCAGTGCTTAAAAAAAAAAAAAAAGATGGCCTGGGAAGACTTGGAAGTTAGTGGCCTTCCCTTGAGCCCAGTGTTCCTTAACATCCTTCTGACACTTGCTTGTCTTCCTTCTTGGCATGTAGTCTGGTAGGCAATAGCAAGAATTTAATAACTGTTTTCATTACATTTATTTTTACCATAACTCTCTATTTGTAGTAAGTGGTACTGATTTTTCCATGTAAGACAGGGACATAAAGTTTCCTTTTTTTTTTTTTTTTTGTGGGGCTGGGGATTGAATCCAAGGCCTTGCACATACATGCTAGGCAAGCAGTCTACCATCATGCTATATGCCCAGCCCAAAGTTTCTCTTTTAAATCAAGGTAGCGGTGATGTTAGCTAATATGTATTAAGTGCTTGCTGTGTGCCAGGTGCTGTTCTCATGCTTTACCTGCAATAGGTCATTTAGCCCTCAAAGCAACCCTTGGAAATAGTTACCAGCATTGCCCACGGTATACAGATGAGGAAACTGAGGCACGGAGAGAGGTAAGGAGTTTCCCAACAACACAAAGCTGGTAAAAGGCAGAGCTGGGATTTCACTCTTGGATTTCTGACTCAACACTAGTGAAATTAAAGGATACTAAATAAATAAATATATAAGTGGAACACAGATGTGGCAAATAATGTGAGAGCCGTATGCAAATCTAGGACACAGGGCTTGGTAGAATTGGGGCATCAGTAAGAGGAGGTGAGGGAAAAGCTGATTTGCCCTGGTAAAACCAAAGGAAGTTTAGAGACCCATGGGCTAGTGGGAGAAGTGGGCAGGGAGGAGGCCACACACCACTCACAGCCCAGCTAGAAGATCAGGATGTGGTCCCCAGAGTGGCTCTGCTGGGAAGGGACACAGAAGCTACAGAGAGTTCTGCTGCTGACAGGAGGATGTTTCCAGAGAACCCCAGGCCCCAGGAGAAAGCCTGAAGACGCCCTTGGCTTTACTCACACAGGTGTGGCCAAATATACACTGGAGCTGAGTGGGAAGATGGGCTT